GTTCCCATGCTACCTGCATAGTAAAAGCCTGGAGTTAATTTACGAAGATTTTACACGAGTGCAAATGAAAGAAAGGAAAGTGCTAAACAAGGCAATTAGCACTCCGTGTAGTGCACGCCCAAAATAAATGCAGGCAATTTGCAATTTGGCAAATGGCACCCTATCCTGCTCCAACTCACTCATGCCTACGGGGGTGGCGTGGTTCATTGGGGGGGGCGAGGGGTGTTTATATATATTCTGCTACTGAGGCCCAGCCCATTCTGTCTTCTAGCCACAGATGCGACACCTCCTGAGGATCAGGAGTGTTTCTTGCAGAAAAAAATGCCCAACTATTATGCTTTTGAATAAATTGCCTAAGAAGAATGCCTGTGACTATGGGGCCTCAGTGGCTAGCTTTGAAGATGGGTGTGTGGACGTGTGTGTGGAGGATGGCCTGCAAACCTGGAGGCATGGTGTGTGGCTCATTTGTGGCTCTTAAAGCATGGATCTCACACCCTGGCCGGATAGCTCAGTTGGTTAGAGTGTCATCCCGATATACCAAGGTTGTGGGTTCAATCCCCAGTCAGGGCACATACAAGAAACAACCAATGAACATGTAACTAAGTGGAACAACACATTGATGTCTCTCTCTCTCTCTCTCTCTCAAATCAATAAATAAAAATAAAGCATGCATCTCTACTTGAGATCCCTTGGAACTGTTCATTTGAAGTACAACTGACTCTTTCTTTTTATTTTTTATATATTTGTATTGATTTCAGAGAGGAAGAGAGAGGGAGAGAGAGAGATAGAAACATCAATGATGAGAGAGAGTCATTGATCGGGTGCCTCCTGCATGCCCCTTACTGGGGATTGAGCCCGCAACCCGGGCATGTGCACTTGATTGGAATCAAACCGGGACCCTTCAGTCTGCAGGCCAATGCTCTATCCACTGAGCCAAACCGGCTAGGGCCAACTGACTGTTTCTTAATTGACAGGAAGGTTTTTTCCAAGCCTTTCATGTTTATTCTTGTAAGCCTCTTATTAGTGAACAATAATAGATGTTGTTAATGCAGAATCACAACCAACATTAATCTTTAAGATGTTAGAGTGATGATGGTTAAATGTGTCTCTTATGGCTTTGAACTTGACAAAACAGTTCAAAGACAGAAAGATGGGCCCAACTTGGGAGAATGGGGCCTGAAGCCCAGCCTCTCATTCTTTGGGGTTTACTGGGAAGATCAAGTTCACTTTCATGTGTTACCATCATCTGGAATTTGGATTTCTGTCGGAAAGGAGATATGACACATTGACATCTGGGGGAAAAAATGGACATCCTTGTATTTTTGCTTATTTCTGAGCCTAGAGAGTTTCACTCAGTGATTAAAAAAAGAAGAAGAAGAAAAGAAAAGAAAAGAAAGAAAGACAAGCCAGGTAAAAGCATTCTTTTGTGCCCTCTAGCTGCTAGAAGCACACATGGAAAATCAAAGTCTCTGATGATTAAATTCACTGAATCTGACTTGGGGGGTGGGGGAGTCGCTAAAGTCCTTTTTTCTTTATAAAAGAGATACCTCAATTAATAAAAGTTTACCTCCTTGAATCAATTGGATTTCCATGTTCACAAGACAAGGCAGAGTAAGAATGCAGTCATAATTAGGCTGGAACGTAACTTCTCTCACGCAGTGTGACGCATGCATTGTTGGACTACATGTTAATTGATTCCTCAAGGAAGGGTGAGGAGATTGGATTGCTGGTTTTAGGAACACCGGGGTGGCTTCTAGAACTGATGACAGGGCTCCTATGCATACGGATGTTTATGAAAATAAAAGTGGGGTGTATATTTCATTTCTAGGTAACCCTCTGTCGTTCTTGGCCTGACAATGTCATCAAAATCAGTCCGTCAGAAAATGTTGACTGTGGGGGTACCAATCCTGATAGCAGCCCGGGTTACCACCCTTTAAATCTAGGCCAGTGATGGCGAACCTTTTGAGCTCGGTGTGTCAGCATTTTGAAAAACCCTAACTTAACTCTGGTGCCGTGTCACATATAGAAACTTTTTGATCTTTGCAACCATAGTAAAACAAAGACTTATATTTTTGATATTTATTTTATATATTTAAATGCCATTTAACAAAGAAAAATCAACCAAAAAAAATGAGTTTGTGTGTCACCTCTGACACATGTGTCATAGGTTCGCCATCACTGATCTAGGCTGTAGCCCAGATTTTTTTTTTCAAATCTAGAAATCAGCACCCCACGGGGGGAATCAATGGCTTACTGATGAGGCCGCACAGGAGAGTCCCCGATGCCCAATTTATTGTGCATTTCACTTCCGGGGAGGAAAAGTCTTGCAGCCTGGGCCATGCAGGCCACCAGAATCGCGAAAAGGCAAGAGAGAAATTGTTTGAAGTTTGCAGAATTACTAGTGTTTTCTTAAAAATTTCTCCAGGCTTCCAAAGAAATGGTTTTCAATGGTTGTTCAGTGTGCGGTGGAGAGCCTGGGCTGGGGAGGGGGTTGGGCTGTTTAAGGAGTCAAGGCAAATATTATCTGAGGACATTTTCCCCCAGTGAAGTGGACACACGCTCAGAGGGATCCCCGATCGAGGGCAGAGTTCACCCCAAAGCGCTCAGTCTCAACAGATGTCCTCAGAGACCCCGAGTCGCTCTGGTGGCGTGGAGAGACCCAGAAACCCGGCTCCATCCACTTAGGCCGCGGAGTCCAAAGATACAGGTCAGGGGCGCCGGCATCTGAGTCCACAGCCCTGCCCATGTGGCCACTGACAGACAGGAACTAATTAAGGGCTGGTTGCCCTTCTCGGCGAAACCTCAAAGATGCACGGTGCTGAATTATTAAAAACAACACACACACACCAAATACCAAAAAAATGAAAGAAAGAAAGAAAGAAAAAATCCCCCCCCACCCCCACCCCAGCGGTGTGCCAGATGAAAAGGGAAGGAGCCATCAGATCCCACGGAACTGGCCCTCTCGGATGAGAGTGTCCCCAGGTCCCCAGATTCCTTTGTTGTGATGACAATTTTTCTTCCTCCGAAGGAAGGCAGCAGCCAAGTGCGGCGCGCGTGCGAGCAGCCTGTCTTGCGTTACCTTTGTCTGCCGAGCTCAGCTGGGATTTAATTGGTCGGCAATAGGAGGGAGGTCTCCTTAGAGGGAAGGAATATTGACTGTTTATGTTGAAATGTCACCGTGACAAGAGAGCCTACAGGAAGCAGGAGCGCCCGGCGTGAGAGCCGCCGACACAAAGGCGGCACCGGCGCGGGCGGCATTCAGACGCGGGGACTCAAAGGGATGAAACGGACCAGGCCCGCGTGTGTGGGAATTTCCAGCCGCCGCTGACAGGTGAAAAAGTCATCATTTCACTGGGCCGACTCCCGCGCCATCCTGCGTTTCCCCCTAAGGCAGTGGTTCTCAACCTTCTGGCCCTTTCAATACAGTCCCTCATGTGGTGACCCAACCATCAAATTATTTTCATGGCTACTTCATCACTGTAATGTTGCTACTGTGATGAATCGTCATGTAAATATCTGATATGCAGGATGGTCTTAGGCGACCCCCGGGAAAGGGTCGTTCGACCGCCAGAGGGGTCGCGGCCCACAGGTTGAGAACCGCTGCCCTAAGGTGACACGCAGGCCGACTCGTGTAGAAACGTTTTAACGGAGACGCCTTCCCTGTCTCTTAAGGAATGATTTTCGGGAAATGGGGCTAACACCACAGTTAAGAATTCTGTGGATTCTAAGCCTCAGAAAAGGAAAATACAAAACAAAACAAAACACAGCAACACACCAAAAAATAAACAACACGAACAAAACAACCAGAAACCAGAAGAGCAACTTTATAAGGTGAGCCCTCTCCTCAAATGCCCAGCTTCTGCATTTTCTTTTTTAAAAAAATATTTGTATTGATTTCAGAGAGGAAGGGAGAGGGAGAGAGAGAGAGAGACAGAAACATCAATGATGAGAGAGAATCCCTGATCGGCTGCCTCCTGCATACCCCACACTGGGGATCCAGCCTGCACCCGGACACGTGTCCTGACTGGAATGGAACCTGGGACCCTTCAGTCCGCTGGCCGACGCTCTATCCACTGAGCCACACCGGCGAGGGCCCAGGTTCTGCATTTTTAAACAAACCGGCTGCATGGGGCAGTTTTGGGTCCCGGTAATGAGAGATGTTAGGGGCACCACGAAAGGCACATAGGGTCTGATCGCTGGGTTTGATGGGTTGAAAACATTGTGGTTTAATAACCTGAGACGTTATTGCAGGCCTGTCTTTGTGATTTGAGGGTGGCCTTGAGCTGAGAGCTGGGGCAGTGGGGGGGGTCTGGCTTTATTTCCCGCCCCCCTTCCCCCTGCCGCCCCCCCCCCCCGCAGTGGATTTTGTGTCATTGAGTGAGTACAATTTTCCATTCTTATATTTCCAAATAATGACCCGCTGGATGAGTAATATGAGAGAGAGAGAGACGGCGAACAGAACGTCTAAATGATGCCAACGCGTAGGAAGCACTCACACTGGTTTTTTGGCAAATTACTGGTTGCCACAATATTGTATTTCTTGCCTCTATATTGTGTACTCGAAGGCGCAGGAAACAAAGACATAACTATGCAACGACTGAGTCACATTCATGAGAAAACGAAGAAGAAGATGGGAAAAGCCAGATCGACACAAGACTTGAGTTGCTGGGCCCATGAATAGGCAGTTGCGTTTACAGCGTGGCTTTGCTGCTCACGGAGCGGAAGTTCACATACTTGACCTTGACCATCACTGGGACCCCCGTCGCCGCACATTTCTGGGGCAGCGGCTCATTCATTACCTTTTCCTCTGGATCGCTCCCAAACGCAGAAAGTGGTCCCTGTGTTATGGCCCAACCACGCAATGATGTTGTGTGTGTGTATATGTGTGTGTGTGTATGTGTGTGGGTGTGTGTTTTAAGCCTAGTCAATAAATGATGACTTCTGGAGTCACACCCGGTGTCGCACTTGAACCCTAACCTGTGACGCTCACTTACCTCGAACCCACAAGCCGTGGCGGCGTCCATCCCGCGAAGAGCGGCTGATGCCTTATTTGCAAGAGCCGGTTCGCCTGGGAAAAGGCCGGCTTCCCGTCTGCATCCGGCGAGATTGAGACATCTCGGGGCTGCCCGTGACATTTAGGGAACCTACCAGATGAGAAAGGAAGTCATTACAGCCCTGGCTCACCTGCGAAGGAGATGTCAGGAAAGGAGGCAGCGCCATGAAACCCTGTCAAGTCGTGAGGGCCGGGAAGGTAACCCTGCCATCGCAGATGGGGCCGGGGAACGGGCCAGCCTCCCATCGTCGCTGACACGGGGGGGGGGCGCCCGTGTCAAAGGTGTCCCCTGCCGGAAACATTCAGGTGTTGCTAAATTCATTAATGTGTCACTTTGAGAAGACGTGATGTCACTCCGGTTGTCTGCAGGGATGCAAACGGGCGGCTGTCAACACGCTATCATCTTAATTCCGTTTGCTCTGCACCTGGTCCCGCCATCTGCAGGGGTTAAGGGCCGTGGCCGTGGCTGCTTAAAAGGTTACTAATATCTGACATATATCATTTTAATCGGCCCTTTTCATCACCACTCCCTCCCACCAAAAAAATAAAATACAATAAAAAGGGTAAGTCAACACTCCTTGTGTTGCTTGCCTGATTTTTGCAAATGAGAGGAGTATAGAGGGGCAGGGATCTCTTCTGTTCTTGCATTTGTGTTTATTATTAAAGATAAATGTACTCACTTTTCTTTATAAGATTATGTGCCTCTGTGGGTGCAGGATACATTCGGGCAGGAATCTGACATCGAAAACTACAGACTCCAGGCAGCTCTCTCCTTCTTCGTTTATAAACATTTTCTTCAAATTTTATTTCAATCATTTGTTTCTTTTACTTTCTTTTCTTTTCTTTTCTTTTTCTTTTTTTTTAAATGCGAGGGACTTCGTAATGGATGTCTTGATAAACGGGATACAAATGCTTGCCCTGTATTTGACATGACAAAGAATATTCATTTAGCAACTTGTACCAGAAAGGATGGAGGTGGTTATAGTAGAGAAAGCAAAAATATAAAACAGAATACACCGTTTTGTGAATAAAACAAATCACATTTTATAGTGACACGTCATCAGAAGATAAAAATTCTTTTTCTAAAGATATGTGTAGGAGATGATGGTTTTAAAGACAGATCACATCGTAACAATTCATTTTTGTTCATTTTCAGATATTAAACCGGTCTAAGCAAATTTCAATTCAATACAGATTATTTTATAAAAGTGAAACCAGCAATTTTCACACCCTGGTTCAAGGCAATATTTATTGGCTTAATTTGTTTTTCAAAGGACCAGGTGGAGTGTTTTGCAACATTTTCCCTAGAACAACACCTTTATAGTCACACTAGAGGCCAGATGCACAAAATTCGTGCAAGAGTAGGCCTTCCTTCCAACCAACCAAAACCAAAATAAACAAATAAAAACCAAACAAAAAATCCCACCACTTTGTATTATTTCCAAAGGAGTGAAGCAGGTAATATGTACCTTTTAAAAAAGATTTGCCCTGATTTCAGAGAGGGAGGGAGAGAAAGAGGGAGAGAGTAACATCAATGATGAGAATCATTGATTGGCTGCCTCCTGTACCCTCCCCACTGGGGACCCAGCCCACAGCCCAGGCATGTGCCCTTGACCGGAATTGAACCTGGGACCATTCAGTCCGCAGGCCGACGCTCTATCCACTGAGCCAAGCTGGCTAGGGCCAGGTACTATTAACTATTGACAGTGCATTCTCTGATCCCCCCTTCTCTCTCCTAAGTCACCTCTCAGACTTGGCCCAGGCAGGGAGCAGTTCTCTGGAAAGCTGTGGAGTGTAACCAGGGACCCTCACCCCGTTTTCTAAAAGAATGCTCACTGAATGGGGGCTCATGGGATCAAATTCAAGTCCTACTTACTCCATACTCTATAATAGTGACCCATTTCCATTCTTTTTTTTTTTTTAAGAAGTATATTGTTATTGATGTCAGAGAGGAAGGGAGAAGGAGAGAGATATAGAAACATTAATGATGAGAGAGAATCATTGATCGGCTGCCTCCTGCACGCCCCACACTGGGGATTGAGCCAGCAACCCTGGGCATGTGCCCTGACCGGGAATCGAACCGTGACCTCCTGGTTCCATGGTCGGCAAGCCGCGGCTCGCGAGCCAAATGCGGCTCTTTGACCCATTCGGTGTGGCTCTTCCACAAAATACCACATGCGGGCACACACGTACAGTGCGATTGAAACTTCGTGGCCCATGTGCAGAAGTCAGTATTTTGTGGAAGAGCTGGTATTTTGTGGAAGAGCCACACTCAACGGGCCAGAGAGCCGCATGTGGCTTGCAAGCTGCGGTTTGCCGAGCCGCAGTTTGCCGACCACTGTCCTGGTTCATAGGTCGATGCTCAACCACTGAGCCACGCTGGCTGGCCCCTTTCTACTCTTATTCAATGGGTGGGGGCGACCAGTTTCTGTTTACATGTTTCTATAACGTGCAGCCACTTGGCAGGGTGTTTTTGGGGGAGCAGTGGCGGGAAGCCACAGAGGACCCCGCTGTCCTGATGGCGGAGGAAGGAGGACATTGGGCCCGAGCCTGCTCACTGCCAGCCTCAAGCTGTGCCTCTGACCCAGGCTTTGAGGAGGACACTGACATTTAAGAGAACCTCCCCAGCTTCATAAAACGCATGTGGATGTCTATAAATATTGATCCAAAACGAAGGCCATGAATAATTTATCGTGAAATATACTTTCTTTGTCTTCCCGTCTTTAAAGCGGCTTAGGTTTTTTTTTTTTTTCACTCTAAAAATTTATGGTTAGACAAGCATCTTTTTCCTCTCTCATTTTAGAGCCTTTTCGTCCTTTTAGAGGAAAAAGTGATATTTTCAAAAGATGTTGGAAGTGGGGGAGAGAGGGTGAGGACCAACAATATACACATTACCAGAATGGAAACACATTGCAGGTGATCTAATTTGGGGGGGAAAATATACCTTGAGATTATTTTTAAAAAAGCAGATATAATTTGTTGTCAGAATTTTGTCTCCTCGATGCCTATTCTCTTGCAGAATCATTTAAACATCTCTTGTGTTGACTTGAATAAAAATAGGGATGTTACTAGTATGTGTTGGAACTACGGGTTCCATCCCAAAATATTCTCTCGTGTGATGATAGCAAAATAAACAGGTGGCCCGACACCATCCACAGCATGCGTGACACGGGGCGGCCAGTCTGGGAGGCGTGGTCAATATCCCCACAGCTCACAAGGAGGCAGGCTTTGATGGATCCCGATTCTGGGTCCTTTTTGGAACGTCTGTCAATATCTTCACAAGGGGTCAAAGTGTCTTTCTCTCTCTCCCCTTCTCTCTCTGCACCCCTAGACAGGGATTCGTGGATGTAAATGCCTCACTTTGATTTCTTGGACAAGATTTGCAGGAGGGGAGCCCTTGGTTGTGAGTTCTCTAGGCTTTTCTTAGCCTCTAAATCTGTTCAGATCAAAGGATTTTATTGTTGTTGTTTTTTGTTTTGTTTCCTCCATGTTGAGCTTGCCATCTCAGATTCTAATGCATCCCTCTTCTCTCACATAGTCCATAGCAGTAGCCTCTTAACCATTCTGTAATATTCCCCCCAATATATACTGTGTGGAGAGCTATCGCCCTGAAATGGGTATCTACTGGGGGGCGGGGGGGAGGGGTTGACCCTGAAAAGCATTTGGTGACATATTTGATAAATGACTAGATTTTAGAAATGAGTATGGCATGCCTACAAGATATTCAGTGGGGTCATATGACAGAAGGGACCCCTGGGGGGAAGCTACCATATTCCCTGAATAATGTTCATGGCAGCATGCTTAGCTGTGTCTGTCCATGCTATTTAAATCTTGGCCATACATCTGTTTTTTTAATTTTCACCCGAGGATATTTTTCCATGGATTTTCACAGAGAGTGAAAGAGAGGGGGAAAGACAGAGAGAAAAATCCATGTGTGAGAAACACGTTGATTGGTTGCCTCCTGCACGCGCCCCGACCAGGGTCCGGGCTGGGGAAGAGCCTGCAACTGAGGTACGTGCCCTTGATCGGAATTGAACCCGGGACCCTTCGGTCAGCAGGCCGACGCTCTATCCACTGAGCCAAACCAGCCAGGGCTTGGCCATAAATTTGGAGGTGACTACTTGAAGGGGTGATGGGTACGTCAAACAAAATTGTGTGTGAGCCTCAAGCATTAGGCTTTCTGGAAATATAGTCTTTCTTTCCTATGTTCATCTTGTTCTTATTAAGGAAGAACTTTTCTAACGTCACGTTAATCCCCTTGTATTGTTTAAATGTGGAGGGGGTGGGGGGACACATTTTACATTAAGTGCCTCTGTTACTTGGACACACTTGTGACAGAATGAAAATATGATCATTGGGCCCAGCCAGCATGGCTCAGTGGTTGAGCCTCGACCTATGAACAAGAAAGTCACAGTTCAATTCCTGGGCAGGGCACATGCCCGGGTTGCGGGCTCCATCCCCAGTGGGGGGGCGTGCAGGAGGCAGCCGATCCATGATTCTCTCTCATCCTGATGTTTCTATCTCTCGCTCCCTCTCCCTTTCTCTCTGAAATCAGTAAAATACGTTAAAAAATATGACAAGCGGGCAATGTTACTTGCATCCTGTTTATGCAACGTGCATAGATGTATTGTTTCTGTGGGAAGTGTGGACAGCAAACATCAGTCCCGTTTTCTTCTGAGCTGTCTGCTCCAACAGAGGGGCACCCAGAGTTCACATATGCCACAGCCCTCAGACAACGGTGGGAACAATTCTCCCGCTCCTTCCCTTCTGGCCGCGGCTCCCGGTGTCCCCAGCATTAAGAGGGTTAAAGGTCAGGCTGGGGGACGTTACTGCTGACATCCCGCAGTCCTCACGGGCGGGATCACTAATGGGTGACCTTGGGGTTCGACCGCCCCAGCCCGGAGAAGATCAAGTCTCAGGCCCTCCTGCTGGTGCGCTGACCCGTCTGTTCACACTCTCCCCGGCCTAGCCTTTCACTCACGGATCTTGGACCAAAATATAGAGCCGACACCTGCCGGGGCCTGTGGTCAGAGGCTGTGGGCTTGGCCATCTCCCACGATTGCATGTGAGGAAGCTGTGGGATCACAATGAAATACGGCGCAGGTCTGTAGTAAGTTATGATGTTGTTACTGACCGCATGCAACAGCCCATGTACACGGTGAATCAATCGTAATCAAGTTGACCATCTATTAATGAGTTGTTGGTGGGGACGCTACGGCTCCTGTTACGTGCATTAACACTGACAATAGCGCCAGGATGTCAATTCCCTCACACTGAAAGAGACAGAGTCTCAGATTAAGTTTACAAGACCCTAGATCAGTGATTCTCAACCTTCTGGCCCTTTTAATACAGTGCCTCATGTTGTGACCCAACCATAAAATTATTTTCGCTGCTACTTCATAACTGTAATGTTGCTACTGTGATGAATCGTCCTGTAAATATCTGATATGCAGGATGGTCTTAGGCGACCCCTGTGAAAGGGTCGTTCGACCGCCAAAGGGGTCGCGACCCACAGGTTGAGAACCGCTGCCCTAGATCCACCACGGACAGTAATGCAGCATGCACTAATGTTAACAGAGGGACCAGGAATCATTGAAGCGATTAGATGAAAAATATTCGGCGAGGTCAGCGGGATGAATTTCATGTTTGGAGGGTAGGAGGGAGGGATGTTCCCATTTGAAAATGACTCTGGCCCCTAGCTGGTGTGCTCAGTGGATAGAGCATCAGCCTGCAGACTGAAGGGTCCCGGGTTCGATTCCGGTCAAGGGCACCTGCCCGGGTTTCGGGCTTGATCCCCAGTAGGGATGTGTGGGAGGCAGGCAATCCATGATTCTCTCTCATCATTGATGTTTCTATCTCTCTCCCCTGACCCTTTCTCTTTAAAAATCAATAAAAATATTAAAAAAATAGATAGTGAATTAAGTGAATGTGTTTGCTATTAATACGTAGGGGCCTGAAATATCTTTAGCTGGAACTTGTCATGGTCAGACACAAATATACAGGGTTTCCCCCAAAATGTACACACACACTTTGAGTAACGATAAAGGCAGTGCTTAGTAGAATACATTTCATTTTCAAAATTGAGCTATGAGTTGTCAAAGTGTGTGTACATTTTGGGGGACACCCTATATTTTATTCTCTGGAAGAAAAAGATTTTAGGGGTGTGCTTAGGAAGGGGACAAAGAGTATGGAGAATCATAACTTGTTAATCCTCACCTGGCGATATTTTTCCATTCATTTTTACAGAGAGAGGGAGAGAGAGGGAGAGAGAGGGGGAGAGAGGGGCAGAGAGGGGCAGAGAGGGGGAGAGAGGGGGAGAGAGGGGGAAAGACAGAGACATCGATGTGAGAGAAACACATCAACTGGTTGCTTCCTGCATGCACCCCGACCAGGGCCCGGGCTGGGGAGGAGCCTGCATCCCAGGGATGTGCCCTTGACCGGAATCGAACCCGGGACCCTTTGGTCCGTAGGCTGATGCTCTATCCACTGAGCCAAGCCAGCCAGGGCCAGGCGGCTACTCTCTATTTTGCATGAGGACTGAGGGGGAAAGAGCAGGGTGAGCTATAACTTATATTTCCTCCAACCACAGAGATGCAATGTTGCTCCCCCGCTCTGCACCCCCCCTGCCCCTTCGCTCCCTCCCCCCTCCCACAGCTCTGCTGCCTTTTTCCTTTACTGATTTTTAAGGAAAACACATTGACATCATGAGAGAATGACTATCCCAGAGTCAAGGGCAGGAAAAAACCCCCAAAACCACTAGGAGACAGACTCCCCCAACCTCCACAGCCCGAGGGCCCAGCTGACTGCGGGGAAAGGGGAGCCCTGAGCCCTTACAGCCTGACACTGACCTTCGGGGACTCCGGCTTTGTCTCGCCATCTGCACCAACATGAACTGTGCCTTCTCAATGCACGCGTCCAGCTGGGGGAGACCTCCGTCATTTCCCTCATAGCCCCGTCGCCCCTGGCCTGACAGGTTACTAGTAAACATATATGTGCGTGGAGCCAGGGCTTCCCTGGGCACGTGTGTTTTTATTGCAGCTCATGGGCGGCAGGTGAAGGCGGACACGACATAATTTGAAAAGCCTGACCCTGATTAGGCGCCGATCGGAGCCCTGGGCGCCCTCCCATCTAAGACCTTTCTTTCTATTAGCAGAGCCGGCCGTCACATCCAGGCTCGGAATCTCCCAGAGATACACGCGGGGTCACGTGATGCCATGCTACTTCAGTGCAAATAAACGCATAGTTCCAAGTGCCGTCTTCTCTGAACGTGTCCTTAAGGATCCCCGGCCTGTCACTTGTGTGTGGCCGAGGTGTTGATAAAGATGTGAAAGATGTGGCGTCTGCCCTATCCGGTTTGGCTCAGTGGATAGAGCGTCGGCCTGCAGACCGAAGGGTCCCAGGTTCGATTCCTGTCAAGGGCACATGCCCGGTTGCGGGCACATCCCCAGTAGGGGGCGTACAGGAGGCAGCTGATCCGATGTTTCTCTCTCATCGATGTTTCTAACTATCCCTCTCCCTTCCTCTCTGTAAAAAAAAATCAATAAAATATATTAAAAAAATAATAAAAGGAAACAGCATAAATTCACTCCTAGCTCAAGAGGTGATGCTGACCTTCAAATACAACACGTGGGAACAGTAAGAAAAAGCAACAGAAACTCTGGTAAGTGGGCTTTTACTCAGAGAGGGCTTCTGCTCAACCTGTCCTGGGCCTGGCCCAAATGTAGGAGGGAGGCATGCTGGGATTGCTGCCTTAGGCCATGCAAAGGCAGTGTTTTAACGGAGACAGTGAGGTAGATTGTCCGGTTAAATTCTTAGCCAGAGACCTGGAACTCTGGTGGGACTTAGCGGCAAGGAAACCTGGACAGGCAGGCTCTGGTGGGTGAGCGTGAGGGCAGGAGAGCAGCCATTTGGAGGGAGCCCAGCTGGGAGGTGGCCAGCAAGCCGCCCTCTGATCACTGGCCAGGGCATTGTGTGCTGAGTCGTGGTGGGCCTGCTTTCTCATTCTCTGTCAATCGACTGATCTTCCTGCCGCCCCAACAGGGGCCACGGGACGTGGGAAAATGAGACTAAAGTGAAAAATGAAAATATAATCCAACTTGAGTCGATAACCGACTGCCATGCAACTCATTTCCCCCGTCTCAGTCTTCTGGATGCTTCTCCAGTTGGGATCCCTGAAACAGCCTGAAGACTCCCCTTTCAATATGCAAGAAAGCTAGCTAGCTCTCATACCCTTGTCTGGTTCAACAAATCATCACAGGATGTTACTCTAATGAACATTATATTTTGTCTGGATTTTGACTCAGTGGGATTTTGTTCCATTAGTTTGTTCCTGATGGTGATTGTATTTATTTTATTGTCTGAGGTGATTTGTGTTGCTTCTCCTAATGTATACTGAAATGCTGAGAAAGTTTACATCTTAATAGTTCATTTTACCATTGTTCTGTTGGTGACCGAGCAGTATTTGGATATATGGATATTCTGATCAAACATGACATATATGCACACATTTATTTATAGACATAAGCTATTCAATTTTACACATGTGCATCTATCTATCTATCTATCTATCTATCTATCTATCTATCTATCTATTTATCTATCTACTGACCTACCTACCTATCTACTTATCTACCTACCTACCTACCTACCTATGTATCGTCTATACAGAATTTCACACAGACAGAAATTCTGTTATCTGCACTTTAGGAGTAATTGTTGAAGGAAGAGGCAAGTTCTTTTCAAATAGCTGGCACCAATTTGTACCAGTCTCAGGAAGGAAACAGAGGGTAGGAAGCAAGTATTGGCCAAACACCTACTATGTGCCAAACACATCACGCTAAACAATTCTAAATTTATAATTTCTCCTTGATTCTTACCAAAACCTTATGATGAAGGTATTATTATCTTCAAGATAGTAATAAGGAAGCAGACTCTTGGAGGTAAAGTAACTCATGGAAAGTTATTCAGCTTGAATTCAAGCCTGCCTGACTTCAAAACAGATCAGCAGGGATATACATAGTAATAAACCCAAACTAAGGTCTGGGGCAGGCAAGAAATAGATAGATAGATAGATAAATAGATAAATGGATGAGTGACGGATGGATGGACGGATGGATGGATGGATGGGTGGATAGATGGTAGACGTATTGATAAACAGATGATAGATGAATGGATGGATGAATGGGTTAATGGATAGATGATAGACAGACAGATGAATGGACGAATGGATGGACTGATGGATAGATGATCGCTAGATGAATGGATGAATGGATGGATGCATAGATAGCAGGTGTATCATCTCTTTCTCTTCCATTATGTCCCGCCTCCCTGGCCCTGGTGTGTGCACTCCCGGCTCTCTCCAAACACGGCGTGTGGCTGTGCCTCCGTGTGCCATGCAGCGTCCTGTACACTCGACTGGGTCAGCCACGCACACGGAGTTTCCTTCCACAATGGCCACTAATGATCCCTAATCAAGACACAATCTCAAAGGTAAACAAACCAACAGCTCCTTTGTTTTTGTGGAGGGAGAACTAAGGGTTATCGATTCTTCCTCTGACCCAGCACAGATCTGTATGGATCTGCAGGAGATTGATGGCTCTTTTGATCCGTGGCTCAGCCAAGCCTGACAACGCAAGGCCGTGTTAGAACTGGACTGTCACGGCGGCACCTGGCCCCACTCTGCCAGCCTCCTCCCCCTCCCCCTCCCCTTCTCCCTCCTCCTCCCCTTTGAAAAACCCTGGTCAGTTCTACTCACCTCGACACAAGGCCCATCCTGATGGAGAATTCTGCATTGGTTCCTGGCTTTCAGCCTGGGCATCGCTGACCCTAAGGGATTGAAAAACAAAACAAACCACTTTTCAAAAAGACTTTTTTCAGCTGCATCATTCATATTTCCAAAGCCTCATGGAAACTGTACGTTTATTCACAAGCACGTGGTCCAGGCTATTTGCTTCACGGTGGTAGCTTTGTCTGCAACACAATGAAACAGCAAGCAAGAAGGGACTTAGGGTGATGGAGGCCAGTGGTTCTCAACCTTCTGGCCCTTTAAATAGTTCCTCTTGTTGTGACCCAACCATAACATTATTTTCGTGGCTACTTCATCACTGTAATGTTGCTACGGTGATGAATCGTCATGTAAATATCTGATATGCAGGATGGTCTTAGGCGACCCCTGTGAAAGGGTCGTTCGACCGCCAAAGGGGTTGCGACCCACAGGTTGAGAACCGCTGATGGAGGCTCTGCCACACATGTTGGAGACTCTGTGTTTCCTGCATAGTCTATGCTCTACTCGGCTGCTGGGAGTGCCGCCTACAGGGTGACAAACGCTGCTGACTGTCATCGGGGTGCAACGATGACCCGCCAGGTCTCAGGGACACTGAGGGTCTGTAAGAGGCCTGCTTATCACCACAGAGGCTCTGGGGTTCACTGACCTCTTTGAGGTGCGTCACAGCCCGTCTGCAGCCAAACAAGGGAGTCTTTTAGACCCCAAACTTCTGCACGGATTTGCCTGGTCTGAGAAGCAGTGTTTTGAGAAGGGAAACAGATCCTTACAAAAGTGCAGTGTCAGGGCTCAGCCGGTGGGGCTCAGTGGTTGAGCATCGGCCTATGAACCAGGAGGTCGGGATTCGATTCCTGGTCAAGGGCACATGGCCAGGTTGCGGGCTTGATTCCCAGTCGGGGGAATGCAGGAGGCAGCCCATCAATGATTCTCTCTCATCATTGATGTCTCTCTCTCTCCTTCTCCCTCTCTGAAATCAGTAAAAAAACATTTTTAAAAAGTGCCGTGTCAGATCTGAAACATTTACCCGGAGTAATCTGGAGATGTTAGAAGTTAAACCCAGTAGCCATCTATGTGTTTGCATAAGGAGTTGGACATAATACATAGATTTACTAGAAGTACTGGTATTAGTAAATACATATATTTACTGCTGTTTTTATCCATCATTCCCCTCAATGTGGTTGTACTTATTTAAAGAGAAACATTAGCCCTAGCCAGTTTTGCTCAGTGGCTAGAGCATCGGCCTGGGGACTGAAGGGTCCTGGGTTCGATTGTGGTCCAGGGCACATGTCCGGGTTGTAGGCTCGATCCCCAGTGTGGGACATGCAGTAGGCAGCTGATCAATGATTCTCTCTCATCATTGATGTTTCCATCTCTCTCTCCCTCTCTCTTCCTTTCTGAAATTAATAAATTTTAAAACAAACAAACCCCCAAAGTCTTAAGGGAACACAGCCTGCCTGTTTACCTAAAGTCTATGGCAGCTTTTGAACTACGATAGTAGAGTTAAACAACTGAGCTCCTGCCTGCCTTGTGTTAGCTGCTGGGGGAACTAAAAGTGTAAGAAATTAATCACTTTTCAGGGTTTTTCAAAGCAGTAAGGGGAACTCAAATGAGAAAATCAGTGATTGCCGAATGGTGCGACACTCTAAGTTCAGTAGAAAACCTCCCTGGTAGAAATTGACTTGGATAAGCCAGTTGAAAAAAATTTATGGAGGACTCAAGGCTAAGCATCCTGATTAATAATAGAAATATACTAATAAAAAGTGAATATTAATGACGCGCATAATCTTCCCATTGTAGGAAAATGGAGAAACCCTCTTAGAAATACATTAAATAATAAACATTATGCTAAGCGAAATAAGCCAGTCCGAGAAAGATAAATATCACATGACCTCACTCATATGTGGGATATAATGATCAACATCATTTGATGAACAAGAATAGATCCAGAGACAAATGGCAGGGGAGGAGGGGGGTTAGAGAGCAACCAAAAGACTTGTATGCATGCATATTAGCATAACCAATGGACACAGACACTGGGGCGGAGGGGGCTTGCCCGGGTGGGAATGGCTGGAGGGGGGCGTCAATAGGGGGAAAAGAAGACATATGTAAAACTTTAGATAATAAAAAAAAGAAAAAATACATATTTCTCCAAAATGTTTTATTAATGAAGACAATTAGGAAATATGGTAAAAGTCAAAATACAGATCACTCCTGTGTGTGTTCAATTTTTAAACGAAGGATGATGCCTTCTGTGTTCAGAAATGTTGCTAGGCTGGCATGGCTCAGTGGTTGAGCATCAACCTATGAACCAGGAGGTCACGGTTCAATTCTGGTTAGGACACATGCCCAGGTGGTGGGCTCGATCCCCAGTGTGGGGTGTGCAGGAGGCAGCCCATCAATGGTTCTCTCTCATCAATGATGTTTCCCTCTCTCCCTTCCTCTCTGAAATCAATACAAATATATTAAAAAATAAAAAAATGTGCTGAACTGATGATCACATGAAAGACAAGATCACTTAGACAATATGCTAAGATGGTGCTGGTAATATGTGGCTGATCTTGTCCCATGTTGTTGTTGCTGTTCTTGGTTTGTTTTGTTCACTTCTGTCCCCTCAGGTCCCACAACAGCTGTGTCACAAAGTCACTCAGTAAATATTGGTTGGATGAACCACGACGTGAGTGTAAGACGGAAACTCTATGAAACGCACACAGGCAATGAAGGCTGATGGGCCCTCCTGTCTTCCATGCAAACATCCTTCTTTCTAGAAAACCAATCCTTTCCCAGACAAATAGCATCTATTGGTATAGACTGCAGAAGGTATTACCAACTGCTTCCTAAACATTCAAAAAGTGATGGGCTGCCCTAGCCGGTTTGGTTCAGTGGATAGAGCATTGGCTTGAGGACTGAAAGGTCCCAGGTTCGATTCCCGAAAAGGGCACATACCTCAGTTGCAGGCTCCTCCTTGGTCAGGGCCCTGGTCAGGGTGCGTGCACAAGGCAACCAATCAATGTGTTTCTCTCACATCAATGTTTCTCTCTGTCTCTCCCTCTCTTCCACTCTCCCTAAAAATCAATGGAAAAATATCCTCAGGTGAGGATTAACAAAAAATGTAAATAAATAAAAAATGATGGGCTGATGAGCATAAAGTTTTTAATTAGATGCTTAATACAGAGGTCTATATATTATTCAACAAAACATCTGTTCTGAGTTCTGCATTTTCATGCTCTGAAATTCTGTGTTCAAAAAGAATTTGGGGGCGGGATCTGAGGCATTTGTGACTTCATTCACAGTGAAGAGTAAAAATGATTAGGACGGTTACGTTTTGAAATGGCATTCACTCCCTTTTTGATCTCCATTTATAAAAATGGGGAGCAAAAGCTTTGAACCTCCACTTTTTGGTAAGAAGGTTGAGAAATATTGTTTGGAAGTGGAAGCATGGATTATGCTTGTGAGCAGCAAGAAAAGTATCTATATATATATAAAAATGATGAGCCAAACTGGAGAAGTATCCTAGCTAATAATAGACAAACATGGTAATTGACCGTACCTTCACTACGCTTCCCATTGGCTAATCAGGGCGATATGCAAATTAACTGCCAACAAAGATGGCGGTTAACCGCCAACAAAGATGGCAGTTCATTTGCATACATAGGTGCAATGCTGGGAAGCGAAAGGGGAAGGACAGAAGAAGCCGCCTGCCACTGATGGTGATTGCAAACCCAGGCGGCAGGCAAGAGCCGGTGATCGGAGAAGGCAGGCGGGGCAGAGAAGAGGCGGCTGCCAGCACCCCCTTCGGCCGGTGTTCAGAGAAGTACCTGTATTTTTTTTTCAAAGTACCTGTATTTTTAATAATTTCTTGACGTGGTAAAAGAATTTTACATTACTATCCAAGGGTGGTGGGGTGAGGAGAAGGAGCAGCAGAACAATCCAACAAACAAAAGGGGAAACAGAAATGCATGGTGGGAGGGATTTGAAGGGTGGGTAGGGGCATTGCCCAACTAAAATGCAATTGGTTTGTTACTGAGTACTATTCATGGGAAGACAGCATCCTGGCTCCTTCTCTATACAGCATATTGGGAGTAAAAATGATGCATCCGGGTGGAAATATGATTAGGGGTTGGAAGACAGACAGGGAAAGAAGAAGTCAGAAATAGACACTGAGAGAGTCACTGGCTGGCTGGCTGCAAATACTGACTCTCCATTAGTGATAGAATAAAAAAGTGGGGGATATCTCTGGAAGATTCAAGAGATAGGGGGCAACTCTTCTATGGTTTTGACTTGCCCAGCAGATTTCCACATACACACGTGTACATGCCTATGTTTGCATGCACACACATATACACATAACTGACTGCCCTCCATGGAAGCACAGAAGAAGAAGCCGCCCACCTTTGGTCCAGGTGCCAGCACCTGCGGCTGGCTGCAGCCCAGGAGATGGACAAGCCACACGCCTGAGGTCCCAGGCTGCAGCCACCTGGAGAAGCTGACAGCCCTGTGGTCCAGGGAAATAGGTTCCCTCTTCTCTTACTGCAGTCATTACTTCAATATTCCCCTTCTGAATTTCTCTCCTGTGCTGCCACCCAACTCCACTTTTCATCGGAAGGATACGGAACAGAGAGAGCAGTGTTAAAAGCTTACATTTTTAAGCCAGTAGGTTGGTACTGAAACATATAAATGGAAAACTAGAGTCCTTAAGGTAACAAAGGCTACAAAGGACAGGGACAGTGCATGACCTATTATATCCAGCAATCCATATGGGGACTGGAAACTTTGCAATGATGACAATTAGTGAAGATATGAATCAACTAAAATAGTTGACAGGGACAATTCTTCCATCTTTGAAAATATCTACATCAAATCTGTTTAAATAGATTTTCATCTGCATAATATAACACATTCTGACAAGACCACCACCACCACCAATGTGGTCAGTGTTGTGCCGATAAATGTTTAATAACTGAGGGACACGCCCCGGCAAGTGCACGAATTTTTGTGCACCAGGCTACTAGTCTATATATATAAAAGACTAAGCAACCATTATGACCA